TTTAAAAATCTACCAGGTGCTGGAAAAGCACAGCAAGTAAAATAGCATCTGAGAGATAAGATAGGCCAGGCTTATGGTGCTGTTTTGATTAATTCCTTTGAAATGAAGTAGGATAACCATAATTCATAGAATAAATAATAATAATTGCATTTGGTATAGCGCGTTTCACATCAGGAACACGTCTCAAAAGCGTTTCACAGGATTTACTGCAAAGTATAGTGACTGTGTATTTTGAAGAGAAACAATGAAGGGAGAAGAGAGATACAGATGATGAAATACTTAATGGAATATAAGTTAATGATTACTGTGTTCTTGAGATAATGAAAATGTCTCTGGATAGTAAGTAAGTAATAATAATAATAATAATAATCCTTGCATTTGATATAGCGCTTTTCACGTCGGGAGGACGTCCCAAAGCGCTTCACAGAACACACTGTAAAGTGAATTGACTGTATATATTTGTGGGCGAACGCGGCAGCCAATTGCGCACAGCAATGTCCCACAAACAGTCGTAGATTGAAAATGACCAATTTATTATTGTTTTTGGTTTTGGAGGGATTATTATTAGGCGTGTGGAGTACGGAAACTTGCCCAAGGTTTTGCCCTGCCTGGATTGAACTCAGGTCTCTCACTTGCAAAGCGAGTGCTCTAACCACTGAGCTACAGGACTCCGAAATAAGACAGATTCTGCAATAGGAGAGATTGCATTTGCACTCAGCCGAGCCCTAGACTTTTAGTTCAAAGTCCTGATGTGGGGCTTGAACGTATAACCTCTGACTCAGACACAAGACTACAACCAACTGAGCCAGATTGACATCTAATGATGATCAATATAAATAGAGCTGTTGAGTATATCTGATAGTGCTAAAGTGATGTAACGAAACAGAGTAATTCCTAGACTGATTTATATATTTAATAATATAATTCATGATTAATTACATAATTATAATGTCAAGCCTGACAGCTCTGTAATGTAATATATTTTTAGTGTTTAATTCTCAAGAGTCTAATCATTGATACTGTTTTATTATATTAAGGCAAAACACAAAGTATTGTTCTGTGAGTTTACTCTCTCTGTTGTGTTTATTACACATGGGATACCCTATGTAGAAAATTATAGCTGATTCCAGTCTGATAAATGTACAATGCTTCTCATTCCCTAGACCATTGCTATTGCAATACAGAGGGTTTCTAACAAAACAGTGACCGAATAATTATTCTGTTCGTTACATTATTCATGTCTTTCCAATTACCAAATGCACAGAATTTCTTTAAAAACTGCCCAAATCAGGACACATCCTCCCATCATAGGTTAATTCATAGTTGGGATGGTCTGTCACTGAAGGACGTTTCAGTTGAAATTTCTTCTCTGTATGATCTGGGAACCTTGGCTCACAGAACAATTCAGCTGAAAAGAATCTCAAAAACAGATAAGACACAGAGAACTTTCCATGTGCAAGTGGCATAAACAAGGCAGACAGGATGCTGCGCTATATTATTATTTCTACATTAGTTGAGTTCGGAGCCACATGCTCAAGCTATATAGAGCTCGGGTCAGGCCGCCCTTAGAGCACTTTACAGTTCTGGTCATTTACTGCAAAGGGCCACCTAGGCCCTAGAGGAAGTGCAGCAGAGAGCGACATGGATGATCCCCATGGTTAAAGGAATGAGCTATAAATAATAAGTAAACAAGCTAGGGCTTTTCAGTTTTTGAGAGAAGACATCTCAGAGGGGACCTCATAGAGGTAACTAAAATTTTAAATAGGATTCAAAATGTAAACCCAGAACAATACTTTAGGATGACTAAGGCAGTAGGATAATAGAACATCAGTTTAGGGTTGCAACAACAACAACAAATTACATTTGTATAGTGTCTCTCACATCACGAGGGTGTCCCAAGGTGCCCAAGGGGGAATCTAAGTTTTTCGGTACCCAGAGGATAATAGGTAGAATAGGTTGCCAGAAAGGGTGTCTGAGGCCAGGACATGAGACTAATTTACAAAAGGAACTTGATGGAGTAACTGGAAGGATGGTAGGATGAGAATTACGGAGATCAGATGGGCTGAAGGACTTTCCTCTTTCAAACTAATGTTGTGATCTTGTGAAATGTCAGACACCCAGCTGAACAAAAAAATTGCGAGATCCCTAAAGAGACGTGGATTTAGAAGGACCTTCAGGCTATTTAATCTCTTTGTTCAAGAATACTCAATCTACTGTCTTCCCGTTACAATATCAAGCTGTTTCAAAATACTTTCTGGTGTTAGTCCTGAAAATGTCCTGCATCTTTTGCTCTCCTGTTCTACTGCCTTAGCATATTTATTTTTGAGTATTGTTTCTTATCCTCAACTTCAGAAGAATAATTTCTACTGTGCCAGAGTGAAATTTTCCGGCTCAAACATCAGCCTTTGTTCCAGTGTCCCTGAGTGATCATGAAGCTGTGACCTCTTGTTCTGCTGCTTTATACACTATATATGAAACTATAGCTCTGGGTAGATAATGTTGAAATATTATGCATGCCAGTAAAAGCAGAGATGTTTACGAAGTGTTGTTGGAGGTGCAGTCCTTCAACAACAACAAATTACATTTGTATAGTCCCTTTCAAGCCAGGAGGACGTCCCAAGGCAATGGATGACATAAGATGTTAAAGCGAGGTCCAGCTCCTTGTTCAGCTGAATGTTAAAAATCTAAATGGATAAGGGAGTTTCTCCCAGTGTCCTGGCCAACAATTCCCCAATTAAAATTGATCATTCACCTCATGGGCTGTGCACAAATTGACTGTTAAGTCAATACAATATTGACATTCTTGGTGATGTCATCCGCAGGCCTGGGGTTAACTTCCACATTTATGCAGATGAAACCTAACTCGATTTGAGGACGACTGGTGTTCTGAATGATTGCCTATCAGACATCAAATTCTAGATGACAGCTAACCTTCTTCAGTTGAATCTTGCCAAGATAGAAGCTCTTCCCGAAAAAATCAATCAATCCATGACTGCTGTGCCCTGATCCATTCAGCTTTCCTTTACCTCTGCAACATTGCCCACCTTCACTACTTCACAGAATATACTGTAAAATGGATTGACTTTATATTTTGTGGGCAAACATGGCAGCCAATTTGCGTACAGCAATGTCCCGTAAACAGCCATGGAGTGACCTATTTTTTATTGGTGAATATGTTGATCAGGACACCAGGAGAAATTCCCTTCTCTTTTTGAATAATGCCTTGGGATCTTTAACGTACACCTGAACAGGCAGATAGGACTATTGGAGTGTCATCTTAACTATGTAATTCCATGGGGCTTCTGACTCTAGTGTTACCACTGAACCAGGCTGATACACAGTGTTCTCAAACCCTACCAACCCGATCGCTGCCTCTGCTCAACAGGCGCTGACCTGCTTCACATCCCTGCCCTGCCCGACCCACCATCGGCGGTTGGTCTTTCAGCCTTTCTGCACCCATGTTCTGGAACTCCATCCCAGAGTCCCTCCACCACACCCCCTCCCTCATCTCCTTCAAGGTCCATCTCAAGATAATCTCTTTGATCATGCTTTCAGTCATCTTTTCCCCGCCTCCCCTCCCCCCCAAATCCAACCCTAGCTTAGGTGCAAACACTCAACTATCCACCTCATTGGGATGTCCGCCTGACATGAAAAGGTGCTGTATAAATGCAACTTGTTCTTCTTCTTATGTCACCGTTAAAGAAAAGTCAATAAACTTAACAGCAACATTATGTTGGAGTCCTGTAGCTCAGTGGTTAGAGCACTCGCTTTGCAAGCGAGAGACCTGAGTTCAATTCCAGGCAGGGCGAAACCTTGGGCAAGTTTCCTTACTCCACACACCTAATAATAATCCCTCCAAAACCAAAAACAATAATAAATTGGTCATTTTCAATCTACGACTGTTTGTGTGACATTGCTGTGCGCAATTGGCTGCCGCGTTTGTCCACAAATATACAGTCAATTCACTTTACAGTGTGTTCTGTGAAGCGCTTTGGGACGTCCTCCCGACGTGAAAAGCGCTATATCAAATGCAAGGATTATTATTATTATATGTGAAGCACTTTATGACCTCCTCCGGATGTCACCGGCACGATGGGCCGAATGGCCTCTTTCTGTGCTGTAATATTCTATGTGAAAGGCGCTATATCAAATACAAGGATTGTTATTATTTATCTTGCATTTGTATAGTGCTTTTCGCATAAAAGAAAGGCTCAAAGTGCTTTACAAATATTGTGGGTCTCACCAAACAGGGAAATAAGTGATTTGAAGATGTTGATGACAGGCACAAATAGTTATGTTTCTATAAGAGCTTTGGAGGCAGGGAGAGAAGTAGAAAGCAAAAGTGATTTGGAGAGAGAATTTCAATAACTTTCGTCGCAGAAACAAGAGTGCTACCAACTGGGCCAAGATGACAGTACAAACACTTATACACAAACACACGAATACACACACCCAGAGGTATTTGCCCGCATAGTGTGTCTATCCTGATACACTCATTGCCCAATCCTATCCCCTTGGATTGAAGCAAAATCTAAATAGAGAAAAGAAACCCAGAGAATTCAATAAAATATGTCACTTCATTCCTTCCAATCAATCAAACCCAAACTGCTGTAATCCCAGGGATCAGTGTAATCCACGTGATGCATTCGCTTAACCCCCAGTGCATTTAGATGTATTGAACCCATCACTGTCTCTGTGTGGCATCACATCAACCAAATTCGAACTGAATTATTGCTCCTTCAAGTCCATTATCGATCACTGATTTGCAGCCAAGTTCAGCGCAGCCCCAAGCGCTGACCTATTGAGCGTTGCATACCATTCCAACCCACGCTGCAAAAGGGAGGAACACATGAAACAAAAACAGAAGATAATAAATACTAAATACTAAATAATAATAAAAAAAAGGCCACTCTGGTTCAAGTTGGTGGTGATCTGAATGCAACTCTGAACGAACGAACGAATGAACGCCCCGCGGTGCTGCTGAATGTAACGCGACTTAC